ATGTACATGTGTTCAATAAACATTTTTGACCGCAAAATGACAATTTTTTAACTTTTTATTATTGAGAGTCTATAGCCGCTAGACCTGCTTTTCAAAAACTTTACCAGTTGTTCATTTCGTCAGTACAAGTAAAATGTTTTTTAGTGATTGAAATCGGACGCTCCGTTCTCTTAAAAACTGAGTTACCGTTACTTTGTGCACCGCATCTTCGGAATGGCTAGACCTGCTTTCGCCAAAAACTAATCAGCACGTCTCCTTATCAATACGAATTCAATGTTTTTTAAACTGTTCAAATCGGTTATTCCATACTGTCGAAAATGCCGAGGATAATTGTTTGAACCATATACGTGAATTTTAAAATTAGAATCTTAGAATGGAACCCAGAAAAATTTACACAAAATGGGTACACATTATTAAAATATTTATAAAATATCTGATTATTTGATGTACACATGTTCAATAAACATTTTTGACCGCCAAATGGCCTCTTTTTAACTTATTTTTATTGAGAATCTATAACCGCTAGAACTGCTTTCCCAAAATTTAGTGAGTTATTCATTTTGTCAATACAAGTAAAATGTTTTTTGAATTATTAAAATCGGACGCTCCGTTCTCTTAAAAACTTAATTACCGTTTTTGGGACTTCTTGCTCCGTATCTTCGGAACGGCTAGACCTGCCTTCCTACCGAAAGTTAATTAATCTGATAAATATTATATTGATAGTTTTGCTAATGTTGATAGTTAATTCTTAATACGCAGATGTTTTTGACATATAACGCAATAATAACCCATAACGTATAATAATTATTTCCTTGTCTTGATTGTGCCTGCAGGCACACAATTTATCTAGTACACTTTTCACAAAGTTTTGAATAATATTTAATGATATAACGTCTAAAGTTGCAATATGCAGAATCAATTGCACTTTTTACCTTGGGCGGTCTTCAGGGTCCGCAATTATTATCTTGTCGTTATTAAGTCTTTTGTTTTGTTTTGTTTTGTTCTAGTTGTTATTAATTTTACATTTGAAATGACTTTATCAGGTTCATTGTTATTTTATATGTATATAAAATTATCAGATATTTATAGAGATTTTAATAATTTAATAATTATACAAGATCTGTTTATATTTACGTACCAAGATTTGTAATGTACCAATAAATATCGCGGTGGTGGTGTACTTCTTGCAGTTAAAAAATATATTACTTGTGAACCTTTGAAATTGAACTTTATTTGTGAATCCCTTCCAATGATTGATATTGTTGGCTGCAAGTGTATCTTCAAGAACTCAAGCATATTAGTATTGAACGTTTACGTTCCACCTGATGTATCTACTGAGAATTTTGAAGCTTTCCTTGATCTACTAGAATCTTATGTTTCTGACAAAAATGTTTTAATTATTGGTGATTTCAATGTTCCACATTTCGATCAATTATCTCATAATCTTACTAATGCAAAATGTAACTTTATCTATAATTTTATTAACTTATCTGGTCTCAACCAATGTAATTCTGTTATCAATATCAGTGGCAGATTGTTGGATTTAGTGTTTTGTTCTTACTTTTGCAACATAATTCATGATACCGAACCCCTTTTACCTGAGAACTATTATCATCCTGCTCTTTATATTTCTGTTTCCCTTACATCTTCTTTTTCCACACCCAATACTTTGCAATTTAATAAAAATAACTATCATTACAATTTCCACAAAGCGGATTATCCTAATCTTTACAGGGAAATTTTAAATACATCGTGGAGTTCTTTGTATACATGTTCTGACATTAATGATGCATGTGATCTTTTTTACGCTATAATTTATAGCTTATTAGATAAATTTGTTCCTAAAACATAGAAATTTGCTTCCAATAAATTTAAGCCTTGGTTTAATTTTGATATTATTAGAAACCTCCGTATGAAGAAATACTATCATAATAAATACAAGTTAACCAATATCACTTTCTATTATGAAAATTTCAAATTGTACAAGAAATTAATAAAAACACTTATGAAAGATGCCTATAATTCATATATTATTGACGTTGAAAATTCTCTATCGCTTAATCCAAAATATTTCTGGTCTTTTTTGCGTAATAAAACTGCTTCTAATATTATTCCGAATAGATTGTGCTAACTAGACAAATATTATGATTCTCCTGGTGCTATTGTTGACGCATTTAATTCTTACTTTATTAGTGTTTATCAGCCTAAACTTGACATATCCATTTTATTTGATCATAATGATAGAATCATGATTGATATAGGTGAAATTGATTCTAGTACTGTGCAACCTGCAATAGCAAGTTTTAAGAACTCAAAATATTTGGTTTCGATGATATTCCATCTTTCTTTATACGTGATTGCTCACCTGCTCTATCTGATCCACTTGCATTTTTATCTAATCTATCATTGCGTACAAACACTTTTCCAAATTGTTGGAAAATTGCACGATTAGTTCCAACTTTTAAACAAAGTGAACATACATCAAACATTACTAATTACAGGCCGATATCATTATTATCAAACTTTGCTAAGGTATTTGAAAAAAATATTTATAGAGAACTAATTCCTTCTGTTAGAACTTTAATTTCTATTAATCAACATGAATTCATGCCTGCCCGTTCTACGATAACAAATTTAATTTGTATTAAACAATATATAGCTGAGAATCTTGACATCAATGGACAAGTTGACGTTATTTACACTGATTTCAGTAAAGCTTTTGATAAAATTGATCATAACATTCTTCTTACTAAATTATCTAAGATTGGCCTTAATTCTTCACTTATTCACTTTTTTAAGAGTTATCTTCATAATCGTAAACAGTTTGTCTATCTTAATGGATTCTTGAGCAACATTGAAAATATTAGTTCAGGTGTTCCTCAGGGATCCATTCTTGGTCCACTACTATTTATTATTTTTATTGATGACATTTCTGATATTATTAACTGTCCACATTTATTATTTGCAGATGATCTGAAACTATATCTCAAAATAAATTCTATTGATGACTGCTTATTATTACAGCATATTATACTGCATTATTATAAAATTTCTAACACCAGCATTGATAGATGTAATAAAATTTCCGATTTAGGTGTTCTATTTGATTCTGGTTTGTTTTTCACAGATCATGTAACTGATATTTGTAATAGAGCACATCAATCTTTAGGTTAGATACTGAGAAACTGTAAACAATTTAAGTCTACCAATGCACTTCTTTGCATGTACTATTCTATTGTACGTTCAAAATTAGAATACGGTTCGATTATTTGGTATCCTCATCATATCAACAACTCTGATGCGATAGAGAAAGTTTCAGGAAAATTTCTTTAATACCTTTATTATAAAACATATAAAATTTACCCTGAACGTGGTTTTGACCACAACACTTTACTAAAAGAATTTGGTATTCCTTCCCTTGCCTCACGTCGATTTATATGTACAATTATGTTCTTATTTAAGCTTTGCAATAATTCTATAGACTGTCCTCTTATTCTCAGTCAACTATCCTTTAATGTTCCAAGGCTATCTTCGCGTTCACAATTATTTTTCAATTATCCTACCCCTAAATCTAATTCTCTCTTAAATTCGCCAATTTTACTTATGTCCTCCAACTTTAACTTAATTAATAATGAAATAGATATTCACAACACTTCACCTAATCAAATAATCTCCATCTGCACAAGTTAATCTTTTTATTTTCTTTTCAAATATCTCATTATTTTCTTATTCTGTTTATAAAATATTATTGTTACATTCTGCATTATATGTAATTTTATCTTAAGCATTTTATGTTACTAACTATATATTGTAATTTTGTATATATTCTAATTGTTATTCATTATGTAAAATAATTGTATTTTTGAGTCCTCTTGGAGAAATTTATGGGCTATATATTTAAATAAATAAATAAATAAATAAATAAATAAATAAATAACCGTTAGACTGCGACGCGCCGCTTATGGGCATTTATAATTTATCCCAAAAACGCGCAATTTTTCGAAATATTAAAGTACGGTTCGGGAAGTTTCAGCAAATCACATCATGACACAATGCCACGAAAAACTAGTTTTTCATCTAATCAAATCGAATGCAGAATTCCGTACTATACTGAAAAATTTGCTTGCACATAAAATAACAATAGAATATCCATTGTAAAAAATTAGACCAAAGTTATTACAATGAAAGTTGAGATACCTTACGTACATGACGTACCATATTATTACATAAGTAAAAATTATTATTTATTTAATACTTTATATTATATTAAATTGTTTATTACTTTATATTGACCATGACGACCATTGTAAAGTTTAATAATTTAAAAAAGTTTAACCTAATTGCTATTAAAATTAACAAAAAATTAACAATCAGCGTTTTCAAAATATTTTGTAATATCGAAGCAATACCCACAAGAGGCGATTCTTACTTGAAATTATATTTATGTAAAAATGGGAACTATGGAGGGAGACAGTAAGGCAGCAAATCTTCCTCTCAACTAATTTTATAATATTGTTGACTAAAGAAAGAATATATGATGCGCTATTATCCAATCTAATAGTATATATGACTAATGTACTTGTATACAAAGTCAAAAAAAAACATAAACAAAAACACAAATGGAATCAAACATTATGCCTGCGATCGGGTGTGGCCAAGGTTGGAGACTATCGAACTTGGGACTAGTTTGTGCTAGCCCTAATTCTTACCAAATACGCCTCCGTTGGCTACAATAAAATTTATAGTTAAATATATTTATCATAAGTTATTTGTTCCGTAAATAATTCGAAATTGGTTAGAAGCACCATTATATATCCTAGCTAATATTGCGTACAAATCACAATTCCATATACCACTATTTCAATAATTTAGTCATTGGGTCAAATATTTTCAATTATCATCACATGTTTAGAATAAAAGTCTTTTATTTGTATATTCGTACTGACTATGACTAATCTGACTAATACACTTAATTACCGTATTAATGTCTTTTTCCCCAGGTCGCCATCGCCGCTCCCGTAGCTCACTATGCAACAGGTCCCGCACTCGCCCTGGGAGGACACGGGTACCACTAACGCAATCGTCTGTATTGCCGCAGAACCATGATATCACCCGATCATTCGCACATCAAATATTACATCCATAACATTAATTTTAAGCATGAGCTCTCTCTCTCAGATCGGCGGCGTTCAAGCACCGCTCAATTACGACGATGCTGCAAATTCTGATCTTTGCCACACATTTTGCACGCTGCGCTCAAGTTTACCAAAATAATTATCATTTTTTTCATACACTGTTCGATTTTCATCGTGCACACATATGGCATAGCAGATGCAAATGAGTAAAAGGGTAAAAGGGTAAAACTCGGTTTTCAATATCAGACTGCAACATCGTTAAAATAGTTATAATAAAATATAGTAATCTTTATCATTTTAGTATGACGTGAAGCTCGAAAGGCATAATGATTTTTTCTCTCGACTTGCAGAGGACTGATTATTAAACATCCTGTGAAAAAATATTAATATTATGTAAAGTGTACGGTCTGCCCCTATTGCAATGTAGTTATTTATGTTTTTGTCTTCGTTCCTTGTATGATTTCATTTTAAAATCGTTAACAAACTTTATTGTTTACTTACTGTGGAGCTTTTGCTCGCTTTTTTGATCGTAGACACGTTTTTCGTGTGAGTTTAGTACTAGCTTTATTCTTTGTCTATCCTTGTCATATCCTACTGTGTTTATATTTATATCATTGCATATATATTTTTGTAAATAAATAAAATGTATATTCATTTATTTGCAGGTTTTTATTGTACTGTTATTTTTCATTATTTCAGTGTGCCTAATAATCAAACATTGTTTTATATTACATATTTTGTTTGAAACTTAAAATGTATTGAGAGGTCTATTATTGAAGTAAATACAACCCTATTCAATTCGATTCAAGCAACCCTACTCAATTTAACTCGAAATTATTTTTTTTATATTCGAATATATAAATAAATTTTATTGTATACTTAATATGTACAAGAGGTCATCTTATGTTTAGTTACTCGGATATATTGTTACTTTTTCAACAATATATTGAATATAGGATATATTATATATATATATATATATATATATATATATATATATATATATATATATATATATATATATTTGACACATTATTTTGTGTCATCTTCAGTGGACTCTAGTTTAAAAGCACTGATTAAAACTATTAATTAAAACTAATTTATGAAAAGTGATATGGTGTAAAAACTTACATGTAATTGTAGTAATCCTAATTATTTCATAATAATAATTCTTTACAAATGCACAATAAAAACAATTCTTGTCACTTTAAATCGGAACAATAATATAAATTTTACAACGAATTTTTTATTGTATAGTACATGTCGCAAACCGTTGTCCGATGCGACAGTGAAACAGAAAAGTGCGCCGCACATGTTAAGTTAGGTAGAGGACACAAAAACTGTCCAGAGAATTTAAGGTTTGACAACGCGAGGATTGTACATATAATAAAAAGATAAAAAATTGACAATTGTGAGGGTGGACAAGTTGGTAGAATTGAGATGAAAATTAAAACAAAAATTAATTAAAATTAAAATTAATATAATTAAAAAGTCGAATCGGGACAGGTAATTATTTTAAAGGAATGAACTTCGAAACATTGTTTAAAACTACTTGGTAATTCTCACACAGTGAAGAAGTATCAGTTCTTTTATTTATACTATTTTCATAAAGATGTATGAAGCATGATTCTGAAAAGCGTCTCTGTGATGTATTCGACTCGTAATATAAAATTGTGGCAACATCAAAATTGAAAATATGATTGAAACTTTGGATGTGGACAGTTATCATTGTTTGATTTTGATTTTTATTTTTAGAGTTGTTATAACGTTGTCTAAGACGTTTTTTTAAATGTTGTCACAATTTGTACAGCCAATTTTATACACGATGTTAGAAGTACGATCTAAACTTGTCGGTGATTTTATTTACCAAAATAAAATGTTTAGAGTCTGATCCATATTGCAAACCAAACGCAACTCTGCAAAATCAAACAGTTTTTCCAAACAGGAAAGAGATTTTTAATATATGGGAGACAAATAGTGCCAATAAACTTGTTTTCTTTTTTTTCTAGGACACGAGGAAAAGATGATTGTGTTTTGTGTTGAGGACGGAAAGTCTAATGTTAATTACTAATTTTATAAATTGTGTGGGATAGCAATTATTTAATAGGGTTCTGCGGATTAGAGATAAGTTAACAGGCCAAAACTTTTTATCTGACAAGAGAATAACATGATCAACTAAATTGATAATAGTACCAATTTTCATGCTGGCAGGGTGGTAAGATTCAAAATGAAGATATCTGCCCGACCACGTTGGGTTTTGATACCAGTTAGTAATGATTTTATTTTCTGGGGTTTTTATGAAATTTACGTCTAAAAAGCTAATTGATCTATTGTGTTCTTTTTCAAAAGTGAAAGTGAGATGTTCATTAAAAGAGTTAAAAAAATTTATTAAGAGATCAAAGTTATTTTCAGGAATATAAGTAATTATATCAACGACATATCTATAATAAAGAAAAAAATCAACATTAGATAGTTTAAAGACGTTTTTCTCGAGGTATTGTAGAGAGAGTTCAACAAGAGCAAAAGAGATAGGCGATCCCATAGGTGTACCAAAAATTTGTGAATAAAACTCTGAATTGAATTTAAAATTGGTATTCGCGACTATGTATTTAATGGACTCTCGAAACCATTAGAGAGAAATGTTAGTAAGAATTCTTCCCTGAATAAATTCTATGAATTTCTGAGCCAACCCCTCTCTATAGATGCTGTTAACTCTCCTTTCTTTATTAAAAATTCCTTCAAATTTGTCAACAAAATTTGTAATACACAATTGCCCCACAACTCTCTCTTAAGAAGCCTAGATGTAATTTTTCTTTTTACAAATGTCCCACTAGAACTAGTTTTAGAGTCAATCACACATAGATGAGATGAGATTTCTTGTCACACTACCCTTCCTCTCCATTGGTTTCGAGAGTCTATTGAATTCATAGTCGCAAATACCTATTTTGAATTTAATTTACAGTTCTATTCACAAATTTTTGGTACACCTATGGGATCGCCTATCTCACCTGCTCAAAAAAAAAAAATAAACAAGTAAGTTATATATCAAAAACTATTTAGATATTTTATCGTTAAAACTTTTAATTGTTATATCAGTAAATAACAGTTTTATCTACTAATGTAGACTAAGTGCACCTCGCATCTGAGTACAGGTAAAGTTTTTATAAAAATGATCTCAATCGGAGGGGACGTATTGTCAAACAGTACTAATTTTAAAGCTATCAGTGACATTAATAATATAAATTTGGCACCAGGTCCAAGTACAACAGGTAAACCCACAACTAGATCAAAATCAAACTTGAAAAACCATCATTCACATGATGCCATAAACTTAACTGAATTTCAAAATAATAATAAATCGATGAATGTTGAATGGACAACAGTTCGAAAAAAAAGAAAGCGCCACATGGATGATACATCATCCATAACATCTTCCACGATGTCAGTCGTTTGTAACATTGAGTCAGATCAGTGTGGGCGTATTCCAACTCCGTTAAATAATTGTTTTGCTGTATTAAACAATGTCCCAATAGAGCCACCACCCAAACAAGTAACTCACAGCCACCTCCAATATTTGTTCATGGTGTCAGTGATATTACCCCTCTTACAAACCTTCTGAATGAGCATGCTAAAGATGCCTATCAATTAAAAATAGTGGGTAATCTTCAGGTACGTAACCAATTATCTGAGCCAAAAATCTATAATAAAATAATAAAACATGCTAAAGATGCCTATCAATTAAAAATAGTGGGTAATCTTCAGGTACGTAACCAATTATCTGAGCCAAAAATCTATAATAAAATAATAAAACTGTTGAAGGAGATCATTTCATTCTTTCCAAAACAAATCTAAACCTACATTTAAAACTGTTATAAGAAATCTCCACCACAGTACTAATTTAAAAGTGTAACAAAAAAAATCAACTCATACGGGCATAAAGTTATAAACTTGTTCAACATAAAACACCGCAAAACAAAAGCTCCTCTTCATCTCTTCATACTTGAACTTGAAATAAATTCAAATAATTCTCATATTTATAAAGTTGAATTCTTAAATAAAATGAAAGGAAAGATAAAACCTAAAAGACCTACAAAAGATGTAGTACAATGTTCAAAATGTCAGCTATTTGGGCATACTAGGTCTTATTGCAATCATAAACCCTGTTGTATTAAATGCGCTGATAAACACCTTTCTCATGATTTGCGACGAAAAACATCCAGTAAATTATAAAGACTGCAAAGTCTATAAGGAAATAATATCTCGCAAATTTCCGCCTTTAAGACCCAGGATCTTTCCTTCTTCTAACTTATTGTATAACAACCGGATTCAACTAAACCTTTCATTTGCTCAGGCAACTAGATCAGAGAATACACAGCAGGTCCCAGCCCAAAATCTAAAATAATGATACATCTGAAATAAAACAAATGGTAAAATCTCTAGTCGACCAAATAAGCGTAATACTTAATTTATTAACATCCTTGGTTACTAAGATCCATCCACCAATCATTTCATTCGAATTGCTGTTTGAAACTCAAGTGGATTGGGTAATCATACCCAACATATTATACATTTTTTTAATATTCAGAAAATAGATATTTTACTAGTCTCAGATACCCACTTCACGTCGATAAGTTTTTTCAAGGTACAACTAATCATCCTGATGGAACAGTTCATGGCGAAAGTGCTGTGCTTATAAAATCAACAATTAAACATTATATGGCTCAGTCCTATGCGGAAAATTTTCTTCAAGCCACTAATGTTGTGATTGAAATTTCGTTTAGGGCTTTAACTGTAAGTGCTTTATAACATATGGCATAACATTTCTCAAGAAAAATTTAGTGAATTCTTTACATCTTTGGGACCAAAATTTTTAGCTGGAGGTGATTATAACGCTAAACATTGTTTATGGGGTTCAAGATTATGCAACCCAAGAGGTAAGCAACTTCATAAATCTATAGTCAACTTCTTACTTAAACACTTATCTACAGGTGAACCAGCTTACAGGCCTGGAGATACTTCTAAAATTCCAGACCTTCTCGACTTCTGTATATTTAAGGGTATATTAGCCGAACAATTAAAAGCTGAATCAAGTCTTGGCTTATCTTCTGACCATAGTCCAGTCATTGTTACATTTAGCTCAAAATTCAAATTTTAATCTAAAAGTCCATCATTAACAAATAAAAAAAACTAATTGGAAATTATTTTCTAAACATATTGATGACAATTTATGCTGCAAAGTACCTCTAAAAAGTACAGATAATATTGATATTGCAATAGGTATTCTCAACAAAAATATCACTGTTGCG